AATACAACCAGAGTTTGCCTGGAACAGCCAAAGTTCTGGAAATAATGACTGCTTTTAAATTACTACGGTACAAATAGGAATTACCGAAGGAGTGGAACAAGCGATATCGCGATTCCGGCATTTAAGAATGTCTAGTGCATGGATCAAAACAACCATGGTGAAGTAAAGCTATTACCCATTCGTGTAAAATGTGTTCATGTGCATTACTGTGAACGGAAATACCCAACATCTTTCGACGACCGGTTTCAGAATAAGTAGAGGATGTCTAGCTAAGATATTCACCATAATGCAATTTTTGTAAAAGAAAAGGGAATGGGAATCCAAATCCAGTTCAAAAAGACCTAACCGGGCTTTCAATAATCATAGACCGAGACGCGACGTTCAGAAGCCTAGAAAAATATTCCATATGTAAAGGTTTAAAGACCCACAACTGTGGTTCTTTTTCAGTATAAATTACAAATTTACATAAAAGATATCATATTCCTTGATATCGAAGATCAGCAGGCATATCAAAAAAGCAATGTAACGAAGAAATATAAGATTAGCAAGGAAAAAGGTGAGATGGAATCCAAATTCTTTGCTATTATTGTTGATTTCACCAAATCCGATGACTGAATCTATAGAAATAACTTTCGGACAATCGGAATTCCAGAACAAACTATTTGCGTAATTAAAAGGATGTCCAAGGTTTCTTTAAGAGAAATGAGAATTAACGGTACACAGCAATTTTTTGGTAAAAATTTAAAAGTAAAGCAAGGAGTAATGAAATAACCGCTACTGTCTATAATATCTGTTGACTGAATATGCAACCAATATGACAGAGCAGTTACGACTGCAGCAAGTGTGGGCAACAAATGTATAAACTATCATGCCTTTACGAATGATGTTTAACCGTTAACAGACGTCGAAGCTACCGCCTTGTTGTTTCTAACTTTAAATCAGATGTGTTTTGATCCATATCTCTCGATTAACTTCAAAAAGAACAAGCAGATGGAAAATGGAAGAGTTAAGACTAATATCTGTCTGACTCTTAACATCGAAACTGTTGAAAAGGTACCTGAATATTGTGGGAGTACACTGACTGCAGACGGATGAGTTGCAAATGAGTTAAGAGGCGCCGTGCTTTGACAACAGAAGAGAGTAACAAAGTATTGAAACTGTGGAAGAAAAAAGCTGTTGGCAATGATATCATGCAACGCATATACAGGGCTTGTAGTGCGAGCATCCTTCTCTACGGCTTGGAGAAGGAAGCCATTAAAAGCTAAAAGTGACGAAAATAAAAATTTTAATATCAGAATTGGGAGCGAAATGGTACAATATGGAGTCAAATACAGCTGTATGGGAGAGAGATTAAAATATCCAACTAAAATGGCAAATTGGCTGCAAATAATGTACGTTTAAGATTATGAAGTTATTACCAGAGAACGGAGGATAATTGCTTTGACTATTGACAACAAACACCAATGGCAGGGGGCCGCCAGGAATACCTCGAACAATATGGCAAGAGTCTCATATGAACTGAAATGACATCGACAGAGCCGATGAGTGAATACGCATGAGTCTGATCCAAACGAAGTGTTCCTGTGCAGCACCTTGCATCGTTTCCATTTTCGTTCGTTCGGTGTCCGGTCTACTGCGACTTGTACTTATCTCAGGTGTTCTAATCGTTGGACAGAGACACACCAGATAGAGTGCAGTTCATCGTAGCTACATCATGACGGCTATTACGATGGAACGTGGTTGATATGGTTAAGTTAAACGCATTTGGTTTCACGTCAGTACTTCTGAACTACGCCTATAGCGCAGAGTCGTGTGAAGCTGGTTTCGAAAATGGGCCGGGTTCTCTTTACAGTTTGAAGTTTCAGTGGCGCTGCTGAATGAAAAGGACATCACATTGGACGGCGGCTGCTGCACATTTAATAAATATCAATATAGTCGAAAAGAGCGTTATTACGGAACCGGTTGAAAACTCGTCTCTTATATCGTGTCGGAACGATTTCAGCTGCATGAGGTCAACAGCGTACTTCCGCTGACTTTGGAACAGGAATCGAGGAAATAAAACTCTGTGACCGGATGGCAGCCGTTTGGACCAATTTAAACAGGAAGTCGAACATGAGGCCAATTGTACTCATCGTACAAATTCGTGCAGCCTCAAACACTATTGAGATCGAACGATACTTGGACAGTTTCAGATGCCAACAAGACTGAATCACCAGCACTCAGACTCAGACGTTAGAGCAACGCCGTTTTGAAAAGCGACTGTTTGTGCACAGATGACAACATGTGTACTGGTCTGTGGACATTCGCCGAAACCGGACGGGTGCCATTCCCAATTCGATCGACTCACCCGTCATCACATGCATCTACAGTAATGACTGCCATCAAGGTCAAAAGAATGCTGAAAATATGAAATGTGGAATTGGAACTGTTATGTGGAATTCGCCACTGAGATAAGCTTTTTTTAACACCAGTGTTACAGTTCTCAACTTTCTGCGATGATGACTCTGACAAATCCGACGGCATCATTCCACATGGAAGAGTAACCCTATATATGCAACCAACATTTGCTTTTAAGGTATATCCATTAGTAAACTCCCACCCCTTACTTTAACCTGGCCACAATTCATTCTGCCCGCCTTACAATTCGCACCACTGAAGGTCGTAATATCATCCCATTATAACTGCTTCACAGTTAGTAAACACATACAACTTAACGAAAATTTATTACCTCAATCTGAGGGCGCATCTCCAATGACTGCCATGCAGCTAAGCGGTATTATTTATAAAAGAAATTTTGTAACTGTTGGAATGTCTGACTTTTCCACACTTTCATGATGGGGTTATTTCCGGCGCACTTCGTTTAATGAAGTTACTAGTAGTGGCACTGATTTCTATCTCCATGCCATCAAGCAGCAGTGCCTTATTTTAAAAGCAGAGACAACAGAAGCCATATAGCAAGCATACTGTTTCTTCTATTATTTCCTTCCCACAGAACGGTACTCATTCACCAACCTCAGAAGAAAAAAAGGCAAACGACCCGATCGGCACTCGAACCTCAAACCCCTCGATTCTGAGACTGACGCACTATGACACTGACTAACTCCGGTATGAGTTCGATATAAAGTACTTCTGACAGCTCCGTTCCTCTTGAACGGTGATGACAATCATGAAAATAATTTTCGTTCTCCGTTTTAGTTCATGTTCTTTTAACTGACTCAGGATTCCGTATATCCGGGCTATTCTTCGGTATAGGATGAAAAATTATAGATCCATTCGTGTAGTTCACTATCAAACCATCATAAGCTAGGCGATCGAGTATTCTACTGATGAATTTAGTCAAGTCAAATTTGCTGCTACAACAGACAACAGCTATCTGGTTTCCAGTAGCTCCACGTGAAGAACAACTAAACAGCATTCAATGTTCTTTGATGATGACAAATTCCAGTTAGACTGAAGCATCGTAAATGCATTAAATCAAGACCTTCTCTTTTTCCTCGTGTTGCTAGCCATCGAATCAAAATAAGAATCAATAAGAATAATAACGACGATGACAATTAGGTTCTCTCCTGCTGATAATGGGTTTGTGGAAATGGAAGAAGTTTGACCACAATCCAGTGTGTCCTTCCGGAGCTGCTACAGGGAGTATGCGGATTCGGAACGGTGACCTGGCTATAGCTACGCATGATACGTATGCAACTAACGGAGAAGTAGATCTTCAAGATCTGGGGCAGAGGAGTAGAACTTCAACAGCTGCGACGACGATATCTTCCCCTCTTCTATTTGTGGCGATGATTAATTGTATCGGAACAAAGATGCCAACATCTCCTTCTTCAGGTTATAGCGGAAGAGTTACCTGTTCCAGATTACGATGACAGCTTCCTGCAGCTACGTGGTATGGGGTGGATGATTGTTCCTTCTGGACTAAGAAGACAACAACCCCCCTCGTTGTGTCCTGGCGGCGGACGTTGGACAGTATCCTACAACCAACGGACTGTAGTAATGGAGGAAGGACAACAAGAAGCCTCTGGCGATACCTGGGAGCGGGGGAACAATTTCTTAAAATTGTGGTCTCATTATCTGTGTTGTCTATTTAATCGAACCCAGTGAATACAAAGCTACAGCCATCAACCAGTTCTTTAACTCGATGCTTCGAGGACTCATATCACCTGACTGATGTGGAAAAATATTCTTCAGGATAAAACTGATTTATAGAGATATTCGGCATACCGGGTATCCTTTGCTTCTAATCTTAGTAATCTCATTCAAACACTAGAATAGAGTAAATTTGTTTAACTGCTATCTTCCTTGAACAAAGAACTAATGCTTCTGAGCTTCGATCGAAAAATGGGTAACAAGCTGTTGACCAGTGAACAAGAGGGACAGCACAGTTTGCTGGTATGAACATGCCAGAGCTTACGACATTTGTGGTCATGATAAAATACAGCGGTGACCTATACAACTTTAATGAAAGTGATAGTTAGTTTGATCGGCACAAGCTTTGATTCATAAATAAATATAAAAAAATTCAGCTTAAGCGTAAGCCGAAAAGAAATTTGTAAGCTTCCGTGAAAAATCTCTTAAATGCTCAACACGCCAAAGCAAAACTGTGATTTACGAAATGACGCGCACTTCTCCTATAACCTCTTTTAAACTTGTTTTGGATGGTAAATTTTTTCCGCTTTTTAACTAAAAACCCTGCGCTTCTTCATCATTTTATGCTTACGAGCATGCTTGAAGGCCTCTCCTTCCGAAGCTCGCTGTTTCCGGTTTCCACACCGAAAAATCGCAAAGGTCACAAAGTCTAAAGGTCAACGAGTGAAGTAACCGTCTGCCTACCTTCCGCAGCCAAACGACCTCCAAGACCAGCCGAGCAGTATTACCGCTCAGCGATCATCTGCGCGAAAATGGTAGGCGTCAGTAAATTCAAGGATAATAGAGATGATCAGAAGCATAACAGAAATAAGGGAATCATCGAAACAGTAGTAGGGAAACCGACCAGCCTACCTGACAGCCGATGTGATCCGAGCGAGACAGATTTCGACGACGCTCTGAGCATTGCTGTCCGAAGCGTAGGAGCTGCTATTAAAGATGTGCTTCAACTTCGGTGTTGCGGCAGGCAGGTCTGAAACGATATCCCAATCGCGGACGCTGAACAGGGCCCCCGCCTTTGACAGGTCCCTGTGGTCCAGCACCTGCGAAAGGAGTTCGTGCATCACACGGCCTTACCGCCCGCCGCCGGCAGAGATCACACACTCAAAACTAACCTGAAGATCAGACTAGGGGCTTACAGTAAATAAAATTCACCGACAAGAACACCTATTTTATATAAATACTAAAACCCAGCTCCGTGAGCTATGCCCTGACTCTTGGAATTTTATCTAAGAAATTTAAAGATATTCCGCATGCATTTTGTGGCTCTCGGATGTCTTATAAAATGACGGCCGTTTCTTACCATGTATTTTCCACTGATACAAGAGTTAAGTGATACGGTGTAACGGCTGCTGGCGACCAATTTTTATAACCTTAATTTATCGATTCTTTTCATAGCAATAAATTTGAGGCTTATATATGACGAACCTAAAACTGATCGGACTTTGACTTCACGGTGAACAGCACGAAAAGATAAGAAAAAGTTTTGCTTTAGTAATTGCAATGCTGCTACCTTCTGCGATGAAACGAACCACTTTCTATCTGCTCTGAGGAAAGAAACAATTTGTCCCCGTTTCCATTTATTAGCTTCATTCCTTTTTCCCTTTGCAACTGCAGCCAAGTATACAAATATATGCGTCAAAGTGCCAAAGCTACAACACTATCACGTTGAACTACAATTCCTCCCTGTATATACCATTATCATAGGACGTCCCTATTGAGAAATTGTTTAACTTTCCGCTGAAGTTCTTTACATATTAAGTAAGCAAATGAGGTCAGTTTGCAAAATTTTGTCAAGAACGTATTCCGATTCAGTTCTCATTAGGTTGGAACAGAGAACGACATTTCTAATTCGACCACGCTTCGGCGCATCTTGAGGATTTATACGTTTGCAGTTTTGCTCCTTGCAACTGACCATCAATTCTATATGTTCATGGGCATGCCCACAGATTGCTGCGTGGGATTCGGCCATAGGCTTTTTCAGGTCCACAAAATACATGTAAACCGGATGAACAAACCCCCATAATTTCTCATCAGTCTGGCCTAGGGCGAGTATCATGCATTTTGATTTGAGATTTGAGCTGTTTGCTATTAAACATAAACTTGTAAGATCGGTGTTTATCATTATGTATAATTTAGACCTTATTCTGGCCATTAAACTTAGTCAACGATCACGTTGGTTAAGAAGATTTGCGCCCGCTAGACCCGCGTGTTAATTTGAATGACCATGCTTTTCACGTTTCTGCAATAATTGTACCGAAACATCATGCTATTCTTGCTTTCTCTTGTGAACTACTTGCTGCTCGTTTGTCGGCTAGCTCCACTGTAACACAGTGTTGTAAACTCTATGCTCAACAGAATCTGCAGTCTGAGGGAAATTTAAACTCCGAACACTGAATTTGAATTCACTTCTCTGAACTGCAAACGAAAATCTCTTTCTTACTGCGCTGCTCTACCTTCAACTGCCATCTCACCTTATCATTCCGTTCAACCATCTATGGTTCAGGCTTATGATGTCCGTTAAGATTGCAAATTCCATATTTACGTTTTCATATATTCCATATTTACGTTGAAGACGGCGATAGCAAAATTTCAGCAACAATGGTCCGTTACAGCGTCTTAAAGGAAGCAATTCTACTGCAAAAGCAGATATGCCTCGATTTATTTCCTTCATGCGCATTATGCAGTTTCGCTTCAAAAATAGAATATATACAGGTTAGAGCAAACGATTTATTCTCACCCATTTTTATAATAGGGTCAAGTATGTTTTCTAATCTCTGCATTGAGAGATGGTACTTCTGCCCGGAACAATTACTTCTGCTTGCATATACTTATCACTTAACCGTTATGAAGCGTCAATGCCAGGTAACACGTTTCCTTACCACGGAATGGCTGCCTGTTAGAGTTAAGGTTTATAGTTTTATGAACGAAGGCGTAGCGTATACTTAAACTGCTCGCTTAACAAGAAGCTATAGAGCAGGATGCAAAATGTCGTCATATCTTGCCTAACTTGAACGAACGACTATCTGCTTCGATGGTGTTGTCCAACTAACATTATTATGCAAGTATAGCCTCGCTTAGATCTTTTAAATGACTTATGCTAGGAAATCTCGTTAGGAAAAACGCTCTTATTTATTAACTCATTTTCAGTGCTTGCTACTTCTTTTGAAGAGGGGCGCAGCTTAACGTAGTTCTTGCGAACGATCAGGAAAACTCTATGGGCTTTTTCAATGAGTGAGAATACCAGGTTTTAAAATTGCATTTCGATTCGCCTCTCGATCTTTGCCATATCGTTTGGTGAACAGTCATCTTGTGGGTCCGCCTTCCACCGTCTGATTATTTGTCCCCACAACTGAGTTCAAGATAGCAGTGGCTCACAAGCGAAGACATCTCAGATCATCCTGTTCAAAAACTTGTTCGGCCTCATCGTACCACTAATTCTACAGTGATCCTCATTTCTGCTGCTTCTGTTGCGTTCATTCGGTCAGTATTCGTTACTTTCTGCCATACATGATGATATTACAAATATCTGTTTGAAGTCATATTATGGTATTTCTACTCGCCTTTCTTTTCTTTATAATAGACGGGTTCACCCTCTCGCTTGATTGATTCATATGTAGATTTGAATGACCCGTACTCTCAATCCTTCATTTAGCATGTGCTGACTACTTCTATCAAAAACCTGAACTTAGCTTCCAAGTTTATTAAAAGTTTTTCATGTCATAACACTTAAGAGAGCCTGATTCTGCTGCGTTCATCCTTGTTGTACAATTTTCGGCTTAGGCAGTTGCTTACCTTTCACGGCATTGCTGCATTTTGAAAAACAATGTTTTACTAAAAGAAGAAAACACAAGTTGAACTTGAATTAAAACTTATCGTGCAGTCGAAACTTTCAAAATGGGACCCTTGTGCACTTTATACTGACTGCACAGCTACTGAAAAACGAAAGGAAAACGTTTCGCCAAGACGAAGGCACATCATTTGATGTATTTCTCCATGAACCTCTTATGAAACTCTGAACGTAGGGCGTCATTGATAAACGACGGTTCGCGTTTCTGACGATCGTCCAAACCCTTCGCGCAGTTCTTGAATACAACGTCGTCGTCCCAACTGCGAAACAAACAATATAACATATTCATTTAAGCGTTCTATAGGCCTACCGACGTTTAACCTTAAAATCTTGCTTGAGAGGGTTCAGCAATGGATTACCATGAAGCACGTTATCCACTCGAATTCGCTCTTCTTCCGCTCGTCTTTCCTCTTCCTGAAACGATAAAAAATCAGAATAATGAAAAAATTTAGCACATATTACAAAGGTAAAAAAGAACTATCCTGGTTACGTAATAACTTAGACCAGAAGTTACACACGCGTTTGTTAAATTTAAGATGTCACGGAAACTACTAAAATATACTGTTGTACATATTGTTCCCACCGCTTAAAATATAAGCATATGTTGTAGACAGCAGTTAATCAAAAACGGCATTATACGGTATGAAAGTAACAGATGTCATAACGTATTAGAGGATGAACTATATAATCTGCCATTTTCTCTTTGACTGTATGTCATTACTTAGACTACCATCGTAGCATACTACTATTTGCTACATAATCAGCGAACAGTTCCTTCAAAACAACGTTGTACAGTGTGGTACCGCTCTTTATTCGTATATGCCTAAGTTTGACATCGAACTTCTGGTTATATCCATAATCACTGCCACT